CCCTCCCTCCCTCGGCACCTCTGCTTCTTCATGGTCCAAGAATGTGTGCTGACCCTGCAGACGAGATCGGGCGCGGGCAGTAGAGTCCTGTGGGGGCGGGCGCCAGAGGGAGGAGAAGGAGGGTGTCGGGCGAGGAAGCGAGCAAAGAGAAAGAGCAATCGCGTCAGAGTACGCGAGACGAAGGCGTACCTCTCGCAGGCCGGCATCGACGAAGATCGGCACGCCGCTGGCGGGAGAGTGGGACGAGACAGGGAGGTTGTTAAGGTATCTTCCATCCCGACGCGCGGAGGAGGAGGCAGCAGAGGATGGCCGAGACGCGCCGTTGACGGTGCTGAGTGTGGAAAGGTTTTAAAAATAAAGAAAGAAAGGGATGAGAAGGGAGGAGCCAGGAGGGACTGTGTGGGCTGTCTCGCCTTCTCCTTGCCCGCCCTTCACGCCCGTCCCCCTTTCCCGTCCCGGTTTCTATCGCATGCAGCACCTGCCCAGTGACCGGCCGATCCCCCTCCCCATGAGACTCGACTGGCTTACCGCCTCTTCTCTTTCTTCGTCGCCAGTGCGCTTCTCCCTCCCCTGCCCTCCGGCCCGCCTTCATCTCCGCCCTCGAACGCCGCCGCGCGTCCTTCCTCGTTCAATCTCAGCCAGTGCCGCGACATGCGCCTTTGGAAGTGATGCCTGTGGAGGGGGTGGGATGGAAGGGCGAGGTAGTGCAAAAGCACGGTTGTGAAGTAGCGGAAACGGAGGATACAGCGAGGTGCTCAGGGGGAGAGCAGAGAGAAGAGAGAGGGAGGGGTTGCGACCATGGCGCCGCTAGGAGGACGGGAGGGCCCGAGGAATGGAAGGAGGGGAAGGAAGGTGGGGGGGAGATGGATTGCGATCAGGACCTACCGACGCTCTGCCAGCAGCTCGATGGGCAGCGCGTGGAGCTCGATGCCCTGTGGATGGAAAATGTGAGGCAGGGCCACGACGCGCCTGTCTCCTCTCGCGTCCTCCCGCTCTACCTTGGTGTACAGCTTGTCTGCGAGGGAGAAGTTCCCCGACTTCTCCGCCACAAAAGCCCAGGCGGCCCAGAAGAGGGCTTGCGTCGTTCCGATCTTCTTCTTGTGCAGAAACTGGGAGGAAAGGATAAGGCCGGAGGGGAAGAGCGTAGGTGGGGGAAGACTGCGAGGTGGCTGGGAAAAAAATTGCGTACGAAGTGGGGGAGTGACTCTTCTATTACCTTGAAAATTTCTCCGGGACTGCTCAATCGGTCGGCGTAGCTGATCCAAATCTATGAGTCATTCGTGAGACAGAGAGAAAGAGCGAGTAAGTGAGCATCCGCTTCTTCTTCCACGCCGCACCCGTTCCCGCCCATCTCATGACCCACCTTCAGATACCGGGGATCCTGTTTGTACAGAGCTTCTTCTTGAAAGCGGCGGGCACAGCTTTACAGAAATGAAGGGAATAAATGCCATGTCAGATATCAGAACATGACTTCCTTCAAATCCAGCCGAGGTGCTACCGGCACGTCCCACCCGTCTCCCTCTGTCCCCTTCCGTACCGTTCCAACACGAGTGTCGCCTCCTGACTGTCGGATGGCATGGCCTCTTGTAGCCAATTGATGTACCTGGCGCAAAAGGAGGGGCAGCGCGCTTCAAGCGTGACCAAGCAGCTTCCGTTTTGAACCCCCTCCGCCAAATGCCCCTCCAAGCAGCTCCGCTCACGCACATTGGATATTTTCCATGCGTAGGATTTTCAAGTTAGACACACACTCACCTCACCCACTCCCTCAAGGGATCCTCCCCCTCCTTATTCTGCAGGAAGCGCTCTTCCACTTCCTGCAACCGGTTTTCGAAGGCTTGTCTTTCTGTTTCCAGGTCAGCTCTTCTCTCGCGCATACCTTTCGGCCTTTAATAGTGAAATAGAAAAATTATCCAGAAAATATACGATCAAAAACGCATGTGTACCGCGTAGTAAGAATGAAGACGAGAATAGACGGAGGGAGAGGATCGAGACTTGGCTAATTTTGCGAATTGACCTAGATTTATAGACTTGGGTAACCCGAGTCTCAGCGTACTTACTTTTCAGACAAAGTTGCATTGAGCTTGCTGACATTGCGCCCATGCTTCAAAGGCATCACATTCTCCTTGCTAATTTCCCATTCTGCCGCTTCCATACTTCTGTAATGATCCTGTCGTTTGGACGATTGATTTAGTTGTGTACTCGGTACGACAAACAAACGAGTAATTGTCAACGACACATTCGTGGAAAAGTAAACCCTTAAGTTCTTCTAGGAGACAGCGTACCGCCATCATGCTTATTGAATGGCCCTTTCACTTGCGTCAAGTGAGTGGTCGGTTCTGTTGCAGCAGGAGTTACCCTCCTCGCTGTCTTGTTTGAGCGAGCACCCAGCAACCGACTTATAAGTGGACGGTTTGATTGCATCCAAAATTGCACGCCTTCTACGTTGTACAGGTTATCCGCCTATTGTGCAACAGAGTGCAGCTATCGAGTGTCCTTATGATACGCATAAACTTCGCAGCCTCAGCCTTCGGCCACCTTAGCTAGGCTCGGAGAGTACGATGACGTCAGGCGACAGCTGACGCTTCTGTCTAGTGGGGAGGTCCGCGTTGGCCTGCCTTTCCTCAATTATTCGTAGAGGCAAGTTGTAAATGCACTCTTTTTTATTCGAGCAGCTCAGTGTTTTCTGCTCATGCTGTACGATATTTTCACAGATTCGGTTGGCCTGCATGTTTGTGGGTTTGTCTCTTCGCATGCACCTCTCATCTCTTTCTCCTCCTTCCCAATCCATCACGTATGGAATCCAGACAAAAGGACAATTATTACGATAAAACACAAGAAATGACCAATTTGACAGTATTTTCGCAGGAGCCGGCGTTCGATTCTCAGGTCATGTTTCCCGAAACTCAAATTTTCACATTCCCAACGTCACCTTCAAGTCAAGTTCCCCTTCTACCACCCACCCACGTTTCGCAAGAGCAGCGTGCACAATCACAAGCGCAGCAATCTTTTCGTTGGAATGGTCGTTATCTTAAAAAAGCTGCAGCGGCAAATGGTAACGAGAAGGAGGAGGAAAGTGATTGGCAGGCGCACCGCCGACCCCACATTCTCTCCCTCGCCGCACTTAATACTCTGAACCCCCGCATCGACGTCATCTTTGAAATTGAGTCGATATCTGCGCCTAAAAAGAGAATTCACCAGGTGCGGTCAGCAAGATTGTGTGATTGAGGGGAGTAATCAAAAGGAGGAAAGAGAGAGAAGGGTATGCCAAGCGGGAAAAAAAACTCCTCATGCCTCACCTGATTTTTCCCCTTTCGAATTCGTCTGATTCTCAGGTTGGATTTCCCCTCTTCCTGGACGACATTCGAAATCTGCGATACGTCCGCTTCCCATGTGCTCGTCTGTTCTTCGATGTGCGGGACCGCAAGCTTCCCCCTGAGCCGAAAGGAGAAAAGGGAGAAAGCAGCGCGACTGTCGCAGCTTTCGAATTTACCGGCGGGGAGGAGGCTCTTCAAAGCTGTCTCTCATCAATTCAAAATACACGCACAGATATTTCCGTCGAAGAAGGCCTCCCTCCTCCTCTCTCTTGCTCTCCTCCTCCCCCTCCTTCTTCATCTCCCATTTCGCCTCCCGAAATCGCACCTGATACTTGTGGCTCCCGGCCTGATGACCTTCGGGCAACTCGCCCTCTTACAATCCAACCCCCGCCCCTCCCTCCATACACTCCTTCGAACAATTTGATTGCAAACGTTCCTGTCCGACCTCCTGCTCTGCCAACATTCAAGAGTAATGCCGTTCTGACCTCAGCCCCCGTTCTTCCCCGTGATTCATCTCTCCCATCTGGCGTCAACATTTCCTCTTGCCTTGACTTTCAGGCGAAGAGCAGAAGTGGCGATGCTTCATCGACCATAGCCCCTTCTCCGTCAATTCCTGCTCCCCATGCAACGAGCGTCCCTCCTTCTCGCGCTGCGTCGACGTCCTTGGGGGCCCTCGGTGCTGCGACAACTGCTAGTGTGGTACCCAAAGCGGGGAGAGGCACCAAGAAAGCAGTCACCAGCGACGTGGCCGGGCCGCGGCTTGCTTCGCTTGGCTCGGAGCCTTCCAAGAGGAAACGGCAAAGGTCCAGCGCGACCGGACGGGTGGGAGGCTCTACGGCGGCAGCATTGGAGGCGCCGGACAGGGTCCTTTCAGGAGGAGTGGCTGGCATGGAAGCGATTCTCGCCGGGTCAGGGGGAGCGGTGGAACCCTCCTCCGCCAGTGCCTCCTTGCTCTACATGCTACGGAATGCCAAGCCCATGGTTCAGCAGCAGGTGATGAGGTGAGGAAGAGCTCCGGGTTGGGGGAAGGAGAGGGCAGTGACAAGGGGGGCTGAAGTCGGTGTGAGACCGGGGGGGGGCGAATGATTTGGGGGGGGAATGATGAGGTTTGTCTCGTTCACGTTGACAACTGACCGTTTGCGGCCATTCACGTGATAGCACGCTTTCGGACCCACACTTCCCGGCGCTGGTGACCGAGATGGAAGAGATGTTGGCGCCGCACATGAAGCTCTTCCTCTCCCCCTTGTCGGAGGACGACGAAGCAGACTCCTCGTGAGAATGGCCTTGGGAAGCGAGGAAGGAGGCAAGAGCCAGGCAAGAGACCTCGGGGTGGGGGGCATGTGGGCCATTAGGAGCCTCACCGGCGAGGAGGGTGCGACCGCGAAGGGAGACCGAGAGAAACTGCGTAAGCTGATATATCGCACACCTTGGAAACATCAATCCAAAAGAACAACAGCCAGACAAATCCTCAAGAGTGCGTTTCCATCCTCGAGGCATCTGTATCGCAGAGTGCCGTCTTTCTTTCCACGGTTGACAAACTTCTTCTCACATCGGAGACCGCCTTGATATCCATATCAAGCCGACGCGTGGGGCAGCAGGTGTCAGATACTTTCAAGGGCACTGCATCCACTCAGAAACAAAGGGAAGCGCGCTCAGACACCTCAATTACGACACAAAGGTGCCTTCGCATGCGCGACTTTGCTGCAATTAATAACACATTTGGGCGCTTGGTACGGCCTTCTACTTTTGAAGTCAATTCAGGACCTATCTCATGCTTCCTCTCTCATCGTCCTTCCCCTCCCTTCCCCTGCATCACCACCTCCACACGACCGCACTGCCTCCCCCCCCTCTCCCTCGCTCACACTCTCTTCACCTCCCGAAACTCAAAGTGGCCCATGAACTTGTAAGGGTCAGTAAACTGCGCTCGGTGGGAGGAGAGGGAGGGCGGAGTAAGGGATAGGGGGGCGAAGGTAAGTATTCAAGCACACGCCCCTGGCCCTCCTCGCCCTCCTTCCCCCCTACACCCCTCCACTCCCCTTCCATCCCTCTAGCCCCACCCCCCACCACCACCCTGGGAGCTTCTCGACCCCTTAGAGCCTTGCCTCCTTCCCCTCTTTGCCCACCTTCACAACTACGGGCCTGTTCGCCGAACAAGTGACGCCATTCCTGGCCGTGAACTTCAACATGGTCACGGTCCCTTGCAAGCCTGAAGCGGGCGGGGGAGGAGGGCTGAGAGGCGAGCAGAGAGGGCTCCTGCGAAGGAGGAAGGACACAGGACCTCGACGCAGAGTACGACGGAGAAAGAGGAGGAGAACGAGGGCAGGGGGGAAGGAGGTTACCTTTGGGGTTGACGCCCTCCTTGGGAGCCTTTGGGATGGAGTAGAAGGTGCTGTCTGCGATGATCTCCACCAGGTCGCCTGCGCAAGCCGGGGAGGACGAGGGTGAGTGAAGGTAAGCCCAATCCCTTTCTCCCTGAGCAATTACACCACTCGCGGACAATTTGTCTTCTGCGACTCTCACTCGCCCCTCTCTCCGTTCTAAGCTTCCTCCCTCCCCCTCACCTTCCTTGATCCCATCCGGATTATAAAAATCCCCTCCTTCTTCCTCGGCCCCAAGGCCCAGATCCAACTGCAGCTGCAACCTCACCAATGGAGGAGCCGATGAAGCCCCTGAGGGATGAGGATGTGAAGGAATTCGGCCAGGGGAAGGTTAGCTTGAGTCAAAGGGATGCTGAGCGATTTTGTTTGGGTCACCAAAATACAAGCTTTCCAAAAACATATCTTTGTAAGCATTCGACTTTTTGGGATCCCCCGTACATCCATGTATAGCTCACCTGCTCTTATTCTTCTTCGTCCCTCCTCTTCGCGCAAGCCGCCTACTCTCAACCCCTCCGTCCTCTTCAATCCCCTCGCTGCCCCCGTCGTCAACACGAAACCCTGCGCACAGGGCGTCAACAAACAAGCGACGACAGAGGCCAAAATAACGGCCAATACTATCGTGACCTCTCTCCTGCCTAGAGCGGATAGCATGAGTGTAGAGGGCGGGTCTGACGAAGAGGTCGAAGACGTGTTACCTTGGACGTTCCCCTCACCTAATCGACGGGAATGGGAGGCATGGAAGAGAGCGTCGAGAGTGTTGACAAATGGCATTTGCATGATTGGAAAAGCCTCTCCTACAGCTGGCGACCTTTTGGTCAGAGAGGCTGGAGAGGATCATCTCCTTGTCATCCGCCCTTCCTCCTCAGGAGGCGAAGATCCAGCCAATAGCCCGTGTCCCCTTGCCCGTTCCCCTCCGCAACTATTGCGTTACTTTCTTTCTGTTTCAACACGCCTGGAGTAAGACATGGACGAGACAAGGCCAATCAGACACCACCCCCGAGCGTCTGAGACGTTGCGTGTCCTTATCTTGCGCCAGAGCCTGGTATCTTGTTGCTAGCGAGACGGCGAGGCGCCGGCGGCGTGCAAGGAAGAAACGAGCTCCTGCAGGCTTGAGCGCTTCGACTGCCCCATTGACCATTCTTTGGTTAAAAAAAGGTGTCGAGAACTTGTGGTCCTTGTCCCTCGGTATCTTGCTCGTCCCGACCACCGGGATTCGCACTAACGCTGTACGATTCTCACCCCCTGCTTACCCCCCGGTTTCTCCTCGCTGTCGCTCCGCCTACCCCAGTTAGCTTTATTGAATTCTTGCCGTAGCTTGAGTCCACTAAACCCTACGCGCTTGTTGAACACTGTGGAATGGACTCCTTGCGATTGCCAGCGGTCTCCGCCGTGAATGAATGTTTCTTTGACCCTCCCTCCTTCCCTTATCCCGCGTCATCCCGCATCAGGTGCTCGCAATGGAGATGCTAATTGAAGCCACCGTGGGTCTTGCAGGTGCCGCTTCTTCCGTGGCCCTGTATAGGGGTATCAAACGTAGGCTGTGTCCGTCTCAGGAAGAAAGAGATTTCTACGCGATGGACGGCAGTATGGCGGGGCGTACGGTCCTGGTAACAGGCGCGAACAGCGGGGTGGGACGGGCAGCAGCGGAGATCTTGGCACGCAAGGTTCGTGAAATTGGGGAGGCATTCCTTTAATCTTTGTTAAGGCCGAGGCATTATGGAGGGGGCATAGGAGCCGGGAGTGTCCCGGGCTGGACGTGGTCAGGTTCAGGAGGAATGCCGCCAACGCAGGCCGCGTTCTCTCTCACGCATTCCCCCGCTCCTCTTCCTCCCCTTTCTCCTCACTCTAGGGGGCTCACGTCATGTGCGCCTGTCGAGACATGCCTAAAGCGGAGGCCACCGCCTCTGCCATCAACCGACGCCTTCCCCGCACGGTGCCCCCCTCCTCTTCCCCCTGTGGCCGTGCATCTCCGGCTCCTGCGCCGCTGGACCTGGCCTCTCTGGCCAGCGTACGGGCGTTCGTGGACGCTTTTGAGAGAGAGCGAGGGGAAGAAGGGGAGGAGGAGCAAAAGAGGAACGAGGACAGGAGGTTGCGGCGAAGAGAGCCGCGATTGCACGTGCTCGTGAACAATGCGGGGGCGCTCTTTCCGAAGCGAGAGCTCGTGGATGTTTGGAAAAGGGAGGAGCAGGAAGGGAGGGGGGAGGGAGAGGGCAAGCGAGAGAGCCTGTTGGTGGAGAGGACGATGGCCACGAACCACCTGGGGCCCTTCCTCCTCACTGCCCTCCTCCTTCCCACCCTCAAAGAGACGGGCCGGGCGGAGGGACGCCCTTCGAGGGTGGTCATGGTCTCCTCCAGGCTGGAGAAGGGGAAGGGCGAGTATCTGGACTGCTGGGTCCGGGATCCCACCCTCACTCCCGCGGAGGACCAGGACCCGAAGGAGGAAGGGGAAGAGGAAGGGGGCCCCGTGGCCAGTCCTCCGTACCGACCCTTTTTGGCCTACGGGGCGAGCAAGCTGGCCAATCTGCTGGCGGTGCGTGAGATCCACCTGCCCTTTTGCCCAACACCCTTCATCATGATCTTATCTTTCCCTCCTTCCCTTCCTGCTCGCGCCCTTTCAGGTGACTTACTTGCACCGGCAGCAGCAAGGATGGTCGCTGCCCGACGCCACGCACCAACCGCCAACGACCACCACCCCCCCGTCGCTTCTCCTCGGACCGTCCACGCACCGATGGGACCCGTCCGACCAGCACGTCTCTGTCTATGGATGCACGCCCGGCATGGTGCACACGGCCCTCAATCGATCCCTGCTGCCTGGCTTTGTTCGCGTCCTTTTCTGGCCTCTTAGCTACTCTCTGCTGCAGACGCCCTTCGAGGGCGCGCGGCCTGTGGTCTTTTTAGCCGCGTCCGACAGGGTCGAGGGCAGGGGGGGAGGATTCTGGGCGCTGGAAGCGCGGAAGAAGGAGGAAGAAAGACGGGAGAAGGGGTGGGACGTGGTGGAGGTAGCTTCGAGCCCGGAGGCAGAAGACATCGTGCTGGCCCATAAGTTGTGGGTTCGGTGTGAAGAGATGGTGGCCCCCTTTTCCAAGACGTAGGCACTCAGGCCACATGGAATCGAGTGCGAGAGCTTCGATGAAGGAGTAGAAAGGACATTCAAATATCAGCATGTACAGTCCATCGTATTGTCTTTTCAAAGAAAGATCTTTCTATTTAGCCATCGCACTAGTCATATACTGAAATCTAAAAAAAATCCATTGGTACCCGTATATTGAGATCGTAGATAATTCATGGTTTATCCTTGTTGGGCCATTAATATGTAGTAATCATCTTACGAGCCGCAAACATATACAACCCTGTTACTGCTCCATAGAATAATCTATACTTTTTATGATACGTATTCGTCCAATCTTCGCAATTGCAGACGAATGGATGTCGAGGTAGTGCTCCAAAAGGGACACACGACGAATTTTCAAAAATGAAGTTGAATTTTTGATTTCGAAAAAATCTCTTGTTCAACGCTTTTGCAAATAATGAAAGCTCAAGTTGCGTCCAACGCCATAGTTTCAATTTTTCATACACATAAGGAGCAATCGATATCATATTCGTGTCTTTGTTTGTCGTCAAATACTTTGGCAGGCTTCCATGATTTTCTTGCTTGAGTTGGATCCGGTGCACGACAACGAAGCGCGGAGAACGCGTCTTATGCTGATGTTCTTATCTAATCAGGGCAGCCTTGACATCGTCATATACACCCTTAAATCTTAAAAATCTGTCACAGATATAATAAAAGAAAAGCTGGAAGATTGGTGTCCTAAGTGAAGAAGCAGAGTACACCGGAGTGGCGTTTTCTCGCCAACACCATCTCAACGTCTAAGGTGTTTCTCAACGGTCGCGTCAAAGAGTCCCAAAATCACAAATTCACACCTAGGGAATGGCTACCTCGACTGAATTCATGGATACTGCTAACAATCATATTACTATGCCTTTGGTTGCTGCTCCGCATCAGCTTGCTGGGGCGATGGCGATTCACGAAGCAACGCGCAATAAAGACTTTGTTGCCTTAGACCGCCTTTTAAATGAAAACAAAAGCCTGATCCATGCCCCTGACGTGGTAGGACGCTCACCTTTGATGATGAGTAGTTTAAGGGGTCATGTAGATGTTTGTGAATGGCTTCTCGACCACGGAGCGCCTTTGAATGCTGTAGACATCAACAGACGCTCAGCTATGTATAACGCTGCCTCGTACGGGTTTGTGCAAGTCGTCAAATTGCTGATGGAGCGGGGTGCAGATCCTAAAATTGGAGACTGTGAAGGAAATGTACCTATAATTGCAGGTAAGAAAAGACAAATGCCGGTGCACTGGCCACGCGTCATTGCAAAATTGATTGGGAAAGTGCGTCCCAAGCCCAAAAGCTTTCAACCAATATTATGTTTTTCTTTGGTATGACCCACTTTATACTTTATGTAACCAATTGCTATACCATATCCTTGATATAGCTGCCTATTATGGGTACGAGGACGTGGTACGCTACCTATTAGATTCTAAGCATGGGCAAGACCCTGACGACCTCGACCGGAAGGGGGAGCGACGGTGGACTGGACTCTACCTTTCTTGTGAGGCAGGCTACGTAAAAATCGCCCAAATGTTCCTTCAGGTAGGGGCAGACCCAACCATTGCCGACAATCACGGCTTCACGCCTCTGGAGGTTGCGCGAAAGATGAGCAATTGGCGGTGTGCTCGCCTTTTGGAACGGGCTCTGCGGGAGCCAGCGCGGGTAGCGTGTTTGGTCAAGGCCCATGCCCTTATGGAATCCAAGTACGTGATGAAAGAAGGTGTTAAGGCGATGGACGGAAGGAGGGGAGACAATATTTTTAGAATGAAGACCAGGATGACGCAAAAAAATAAGTTCTTGGAGGTGACTCCTCCTTTCTTACGCATGAGAGTAGAGAATAAGCAGCCCTTACCCGTTGTAGATATTGGAGGTGCAAAGGTCATATCAAGTACTTTGCAGGGAGAAAAGAAAAGAAGGACTAGGAAGCGGGCTGGCTCCCTGCGCTCGGCGAAACGAAGAAGGGGAGAGCTAAGAGAAGGAAAAATCGACCTTGGGAAAAAAATTCTGCTTCAAGAGCAAGCAGCAAATCAAAGCAAGTGCAGTGATACTGGGTATGAAGGAACACAGCCGATATTAATCCATGAAAGTAGGCAGAAGGTGGCGCGCTATCATACAGATGAAGAGCACTACGGAAGTGGAGCGGGCTTAGGGAGCAGGACCAATGCCATCTCCTCCATATTTTTGTCGCCGATATTTTTCCAGACATTACAAGATGGGAAAAATACAACGATAGGGGACGCTGAGAAAGAGGAAGAAGAAGATGAGGTTGTAGCTGTGACAAGATATCTGGTACAAGGAAGACTGCCTCGGGAGCTTTTCAATGAAGTGGTTGAGATGATGACCCCCCGTTGGATGAGCTGAGAAGTTGTAAAAATGATTCTCATACAGACAGTAAGCGTTACTCATGATGAGTCCCCTTCCAAAATGCACAGGAGATAAAGCAAAAGCAGAACACAAGTAAAGTGAGGGACAAAGTTGTAATGCTTTTCGAGGGAATTGGATGTGAGACGGTGAAGTCTCAAAATAAGTTACTCCTTCCAGCTGATCTGAAAGGCGAATGTAGTGCCAAACGAATGATGAAAGATCAAAACTGAGCATCCCACAAGATTTTGAATGTAGTTTTCTTTTTCGTTGAGAGAGATGGTGAAATTATATGTCTTTGCGGTTCGCATGCCTTCCGGAGTAGATGTCCTACAAATTCCATCTCCGCCTCTTTCCTCGCCCAAGAGAAAGAACGACACACACCTTTACGGGTAAAACCCTGCTTCTTAGTTGTTTGCATAGTCATGATGAATATATTTTGTTTCCCCATGCTACCATTTACTCGTCACATTATTCATACCGTCATTCGCCCTCCGTCCGGACCGACTTCAGTCGCGGGCCTCTCTTTGCTCTTTCTAGTTCCTGATTGACGGGCTCATTAATGGTTTCATATTACTCTGCCACGAGACGCATTCAAGCTACCCATTTGCTCCTCTAATCGCTGCATCAGTAGTCGTTACTATGATTGCTTGTCATGAATTTATTCTGGTCCCGGTGAAAGTGTGGTGAAAGGTTGCTGTATTGTTTCCCTTCCGTTCCATATATTATGTCATCTAGGTTTTAAGAGGCATCTTCTTTGCAGCACAATTATCTCTGCTCTCTCCACTCTTCCACTTTCTCTTTCTCAATCCTTGTAACCCAGACGAGCCCCTTTTCTGATCCTCCGTTGTCTAGGTCTCCCTCTGTCAAGTCCACATTTTTAAGGTTGAGACTTCTTTCAACATCAATCCAAACGACTTAAATTCTTGCACCGCCCACATTCACGCCGCTGCAGTTCTTCTGCCACAACGACAGCGGATTACGCAAATCTACTATCTTATTTGCTTTGTCCCTCGTATAGCCGTCTGATGCCTGGGCTGTTTCCGACCATCCAAACGCCCGACCCTGCTTGCAAAATTGATAAACGTTTTAAATCATCATTACCCTTCTCCTGTATTTTGAGCCTCCTTTCAAATTCGTCTTATTTCCTTAGAAATCCAGGAAATCGCAGTCTTTCAATAAATGTAGACCGTGACCTTGATCCTTGTCTCACGTCCTTCCCCTTTGCTTCCGCCACCCTTCTCCACGCTCTTGCGGCTTTTCTAAAACCTAAGTCAGTTGACTGCATGTACACTTATATAGTCCTTTCGCTGGTACTATTCTTACGTTACTCGCTGTCATGTAGAAATAGATAGATTCACTTTTCTTCCTTCGGTTCTTTTCCCGCCTTCCTTGTCTCTCCTTTCTGCCTCGACCTCCTAACAAGGAAAAAGTTGGAGTGAGGAGACCTGTCCATCAAGATATTAAATGGGATTTAGCATCCCCATGCACGCACAAAAGTCACTAGTTCGTCAGAGGTCGAAAATCTTTGATGCGTCTTACTCGAGCATTACTTGGAAGGCCTACCGCTCCCACTTTTGGCTCATCTCCAGCTATGGATCACAGCTCCCCTCCCTGCCATCGTTGCGGGCTCTTGATGGTAGTATCAACACGTTCATCGGAGACCATGCATAAGGTGAGGACAGTCCGCGTCGAACATGCCTCTATGCTGTAAGCCGGTCCGTGACGAGGCTCATCCGTGACCCATTTCATTCCAATTTCCCCACATTTTTGTGTCTTTCCCTAATATTTTCGCTTCCTTGTCTACCATTCTGCCCTCGCGAAACCTCGAGTCTACAAAGGTCGCCAGGACGCTGGTAGCTGAATCCTGGGCGGGATTCCTCCACCGAACGGAGGCAAGTGCAGCGCGCTGCTCGGGCTATTTCCGAGCACACCTGGAACCAAGTTGGGGATCATGCAGAGATCATCATCAGAAACGTGTATTGAGAGGCATCAAGAGGAGGTGAGAGGCGTTTCTAGGGCCCATGCACGACAAAAGACATGACGGCGAGGTCAAGACCGCAAGCAGGCATATACCTTGTTCCCCAGGTCGTGCCAGCAGCTGCTGTTGCGTATCTTGATCTTGCTGCTGCATATGCGCGTGCTGTGAGATCTGCTGTCGTTGAGATGATTGCTGCTGCTGTTGCTGCTGCTGTTGCTGGTGGTGGTGGTGGTGCTGAGAACCAACGGATAGATGGGACAGCGAGGGAGAAAGCCCCAGCCTCCGCGGGGGGGAAAGACCTGCAACGCGCAATGGACGCCCGGTTTGGAAGGTCAAGGGAGGGCAGTGAGCAAGTCGTCGTCCATGAATTCGAAGGACACGCACAGAGAGACGACAGAAAGGGGGGGCGGAAGGAGAAAGGCAGGAGGAGGCAGGTCACGAACCTTCTAGAAAGCCCTTGTTCACGACCGCCCCTGTCGAAGTCCCGCTCATTGAGGACACGATGCTGCTGCTACTGCTACTGCTGGTGGTGGACGAGGACCTGCTGCCGTGGAAAGGTGAAGGAATCGACCGAGGATCAGAGGGGGGGCACCGTATGCAAGCAAGCGTTTGCGAGCCATGGCGCTGCCCCCCAACCGGACCACCACCCCCTGCTCGACGCCCTTACCCGTTGAGCAGGCCCCTGCCCCCGATGCCTCCCAGCAAAAGGCGACTCTGCTGCTGCTGCAGCTGTTGCTTCTGCTGCTGCTGCTGCTGCTGCTTTTGCTGGAGGTGCATGGTGGCCAGGGGGGGAAGACTCCGATACCCCGCGCCCGGGCTGTTTGACTCGGTCGACGCCAGGCTCGTGGACGCACTCGTCGACCCTGTGCTCTCTAGGGACAACCCCCGCTCTCGTCCTCCCTCCTTCCCGCTCGGCCCCCGTAGAAGCGGGAGGAAGGAGGACGAGGACGAGGACGAGGAGTAGGAGGAGAGGAAGGTCGGAGTGGAGGGGGGGAGGAAGAGAGGGAGGGCCTTGGCACGGCTGGCGAGCAACGTAGCGAGGCGTTGTGTCTGTCCCGAGGGTCGATCAAAAGGGTGAAGGAATTATGAGCATCCTCTCGGAAGGACAGACCGGAGAAACGAGGTCTCTTCACAACAGAGTCCATTTTGCACATCACCCATCCGTTCACTCCGCATCCTTCTTCCCCTTCTCCTCGGCAGGTGTGCACGCCATTACCTGGTTCTCACTCAAGGGACCGGCGCGACCGAGCGGGCTCGAAGCGGGGAGCGGGCCCAGAATAGATCGAACGTCCGGGTCGGATTCCGTGAGCGGGGGGGCTTCCAACAGGCAGCGGATGCGGACCTGAGGCAGGGAGGGAGGGAGGGAGGTAGGTTAGACGGGACGGCAACGTAGGATCGATTTTGAGAAGACGAGACATGCACAGAGAGGAGAGAGCCGTGGCACGGACAAGAGAGAGGGAATGGAGGGGCCTCTACCTGCAAGGGGTACATGGTACTGGTGCTGGTCCGCTCCAAATTGTAGGCAACAGGGGAGGCGGCTTCGAAAATGCCGAAGAGAGTCCTGTCGGTGGCGTTGGCGAGAAAGAGGGTCGATCCGGGGAGGACCACCTACAGGGATGAGGTAGCGGAGGGTAAGGGCGAGTGAGATGCTGACCGGCGGATGCGGCGGGCCCTCCCGCCCTAGCGTCGGCGCTTTTCATCCATCCCACAATGTCGCACCTCCTTCGCATAGGTCTCCAAGGCCCCGCCCGCGGGCAAGGAGAAGAGCCCCCGGCCCAGACACTCATCCAGAGTTTCCTGACGGTGGCGGAGCGGGCGCGCAAAGAGGTGAGAAAAGCATGTGGCATAGCGTCCCCGCCCCCTCCCCCCTTTCCCGCCAGTACAGGCGGACATGAAAGAGGCCCTCCCGCCTACTGCCAGGTTTTGCCTTGACCTCTACGAGCCGCCTCGACATACCTCGGTGCAAGGAAAGATGAAGCCTTGCCCCGAAAAGACGGGGAAGGTCTGTCCGATCCCTTCCCCTCCCTCTCCCTGCTGAGGTCCCCCCCCTTCCCCTCCTCGCGGAAGAGGGTGCTGGTCTTGCTGAGCGCCTCCTCCTCCTCCATTCCCTCCTCCCCCGTCCAACACCCCTCCTCCACCCCCTCCTCCTCCCCGACCTCCCCCAGAGGCCCCAAATGAGCCATAGGGTCCTCCTCCCCCACCGAAGCCACCGCCCTGGGAAGAAAAGCACATGGGAAGTCAGGACGCTTAATGTAAGTTCACATGTCTATCGATCACGATACGAAAAAGATCAAGAAGGCCAAAAGAGGCTCCGACGGAAAAATTGCGGCGGAGTGACGAAGATGGAATGAAGGGGCGAAGAGAAATACGGAAAAGGGAAACTTACAGGTAGGCTGGCCTCAGCCCCCCCTAAGGCGAGAGAGACTTCGGAGGAAGAGTAAATGAGGTAGAGCAGCTGACGACCGATTTCAGGCGTCAATTCCTGGCAATCGCTGAAAGGAAGGAAGGAAGGGAGGGAGGGAGGGAAAGAGGGCAAGAAAGGTTTCAAAGGGAGGGACCACGTCTCACAAATAAAGCTGGTCAACCTTCACGGAAAGGGGGGAGGAAGGTGGGCCGGTGCCGCTGTGGAATGCGTACCGAGAGCGGGAGATGGGTAAATTGTCGTTCAGGGGGTTGCGGAGAGGACGCGTGTGCGGGAACGGGAGGGACACTAGCCGGAGCCATTCCAAGGAGAACTCCGCCGTCCACCCTGCCAGGAGGGGGGAAGGAGGGAGGGAGGGAGGGAGGGAGAGAGGGCGTGAGGGGGTACTGTAATGTG